CTCAGTTGGTAACCATCTCAGTTGGTAACCATCTCAGTTGGTAACCAGCTCAGTTGGTAACCATCTCAGTTGGTAACCATCTCAGTTGGTAACCATCTGACTTGGTATTATGGACTAATTAACTAAAAAATAATTATTGTCTATAAGGCCGATTAACTGCAACTTATATTTGTTTTCGGTGATAAATTCATTCGGCGATAATGGAATCGGCGAACTTCATTTTCGGCGAAATTTCTTTCGGTGAAACTATTTTTCGGCGAAATTCATCTTCGGCGAAAACTTTTTTCGGCGAAGCTGGACTAAATCATGATATGATATTATCTAACAATATTCTACGACACTAAATCAGAATAAACAATATATTAAATAGATAAGTCGCCAGGAAAGAGACAGTTCGATAGTAGAGTTAACACAAATCAAAACAAATATTCGTGTTTTTTTTTCTCATAGACATTGATCTATATATCCATATTCTCCTACCTCGATTCTCTGACAAAAAACACGAAGGTTTCACAGTAGAAAATGATGTTTCTCACAGGTTGAACATTGTCTAAAACGTATTTTTTTCTTGTGTAAATTGTATTGATGGAGGATGTAAAAATTCATGTTATTTGTTCTCATGCAAAAACTGTAACACCTTTGAGGTAAAGATGACACAATGAGAAAATCGAATGGTAAATAGAGCAAGTTTTGAGCTAGATTCTGGTGTAATTTGAAGGTATGTTGCTATTAGAACTATGGAAGAGACTGATCGAGAAAATGTTCGTCTATAAAGAGGCATAGAAAATTATTTTTCTTTCATCATGCTTCTCATAGAAGGAGATAATTGATGAGTCATCCTATGAAAAGGCAGAATCTGAACTGAATAGCTATCAATAATGAAGAGTTATTGAAAAAAAATCTGTCTATAATTAATATTTAAATATTTAAAAAAAATATATAAATAGGAAGAAACTGATTATAATTGTTTTGATTTAATTGAATAAGATTATGTCATTTTTATTTAAATCTTCCTTATTAAACAATATTCTAACCATTGGTAACAAGAATATATTTCTACGACGAATGTTTTTTTTTTTAAATAAAAATTTGAAATGAATGAGAAAAAAAGGAGACATCATTTTTATATGTTTTTATAATGATTTATTCGAATATAACTTGATTTCTTTTCGAATAATATTCAAGGTTGATTATCAATTAATTTATTCTCTTTCTATTTATTCAATATCGTTTCGAAAATTAATAAATCATCTTGAAAATATTCATAAATAATTCGATTATATTGATAAATCAATTATGAAACCAAAGATTAAATTTTTCCTAGAAGATCTAAATCCTATAGGAACTATCATAGTTGATGGATTTTTTTTTCAATTCGAAATCTAAAATCTTTGAAAAAGAAAAGTTAGGATGAATAGAATATTTAAAGATAAATAAATAATATAGAAAGATCGAATTGAGAATGTTATTAATCTATTTTATCTTTGAATGATAAATGAATAAATCTATTAAATTAATTTATTGTTGAAATAATTGTTGAATAGTTATTAATGTAGTTTATATCGATTGGTTCTCGTTTTGTTTGAAATTTGAAGGTAGTTTTATTTTAATATGAGTGGATAGGTAACTAACCATTTATCGATAAATCATTCAACCGTTACATTTTTAAAAAAATGTTTGCTAAAATAATATCACCTTTAGTTGGAGCTTTACTTATTAGTTTAGCTTTAATTAGTTTATCATCAGATATAAATCCTTCTCTTCATCTATATATGGTATTTATTTGAAAAAAAAAATCTTTTTTTTTTTCTAAATCTAATAATATATTTATTTAATTAGCATCAATTTTTAAAACAAATTCAAGAAAATATTCCTATTAAATATATACGAGAAGCATCATTAAACCGAGTTAAAATAATATTTTCAATTTATCTTCTTATTTCTGGATTTGTTCTTCATTATTGTCAAGGTTTGTCTTTTTTTTTTTTTTTTTTTTTTAAATCTTTATTTTGTTAATTATTAGGAGTAAAACGTTTAATTGTATTAATACCATTATCAATAGTTTCAATATGTATGATAAAATTAACAATAATATTTAGTTTATCAGTATCAAGTATTCCAATATATATATTTCTAGTTGTTTCTATAATAATTATTCTTTTTAATGATTGTGCTCAATTAGATGAACTTGATATATAATTAAATAAAGATTTATTTTATATATATTTTATTCGATTTGTTTAATTATTTATATTTAATAAATAGTTGAATGTTTTTTCAAGTAAATATTGTGCTATATAATATTCTTCTTTTAATAATAAAAATAACAAAAAATAAATAAATATATTGCTCTTGCTTTTTTTAAATTCAAAATTAAAACAAAAAAAAACGGTGAAATACTAATGGTTTATAATATGTTATTGATAATAAAATGGGATTAAATCTAATCATTGATTATAAAAGATAAGTCAACAATTGATATGTTGAACATTTTTTTTTTCATATATTCATCTTTGAGCAAGAATAAAATGAATATTAGGTTGAATTAAAATATATTATATAGAATGATAAGATTATATTCAAGATTTAAATAAATATTTGTCAATTAATAATAAAATATTCTTCGAATATAAATTAATTTCAATTGATTTTATTTTATTAAAATGATCATTCTTAACTAAAATATGATTTATATGAATCAATGATTTATATTGTTTTTGAATAATATTCATTAATATAAGAGAAAATATTTCTTGTTCTTCAATATAAATAAATATATTTCTTTTATTTTATTAATTGTTGATCTTTATCAAATGTTTATTTATTGTTTCATATTTGACTAGAATAGATTTATTTTCAGTTCCATGAGAATTAGCTGAGTTATCATCCTTATAGATAAATTGTATAAAGACATTAAATCAGTTAATTATTACCCTTAGATGGTTTATTTAACAAATATTTTTCTTCTTGTTTTTATAATAAATTCCCGCATGACCCAGTCAGACAAAAATTTTGAAAAACGCATTTAAACACACAAACGGGAACCGCGATTGTAAGCCATTAACGCTCATTAAAAAAACGCACGAAAACGCGATTATTGGTGTTTTTTGTAACTTTTTGGACGTCGAAACGGCGAAAATTTCAGTTTTTGAGTGTTAAAACGCGCTATTATTCTAGGATTTAAAAACAAGATGTTTTAACGTTCAAAAACTGAAATTTTTGCCGTTTTCACGCCCAAAAAGTTACAAAAAACGCCAATACACGCGTTTTCGTGCGTTTAAACGCGTTTTTCAAAATTTTTGTCTGACTGGGGAGTAAGATATCTCTATGTGCTAATCATATCTCTTCGATGTTATGTAAGAATGTCCCTTTTCATTGTTTGATCTATGATTCGAATTATTGAAATGGTTAGATTTATATTGGTCAATTATCTTAATATTCGTCTTAGGAAAAGTTATTCTTGAAAAATATCGAGATCAACAATGGAGAAATATGATTTTTTTAAATTAAAGTACTGCTGATTGTTCTTAATAAAAGATAATATCGAATTTTTACTGTTTATAGTTTAATCTCTAAGTGTGTCTATGTTTGTTTGTTTGTTTTGTCATTTTATCTAAAAGAGATTTTGTAAAAAGATTATTTTTAGTAAAAATTCTAGATGTTGGAAATATCATCTGATTTATTTGATCAATGAATGATTGAGAATGGTTTCATTTTAAATGAAGAACAATTTGGAGAAAAGTAGAATGTCTTATAAACATTGATAGAATGAAATATTTAATATTGATATTATTATTGAACATGTTATTGACGATTATCAAAGTCTTTTATAATATAGAAGAGATAATTCATTGATAAAATCAGTTCGATATATATCGTTATAACCAATTCAGATTTCGTTTATATTGATGGTTTGTTTGGTCTGAATTAAATTTGTTAGCTGTTTTAATCCTATAATTAGTGTATCCCTTTCCATATTCGAGGGTCAAATTAATAATAGAAAAATATATTCGTTATTCTCAAATAAAAATAGTAAAATTGTTTTATTGATATTTATTATCTATGTAATAGATAATCTTATATAGACACATTATATCTTGAAAATATCGGAATCTTTGCACAGCCTCTGGACGAATATCCTATTTTAGTAGTAATGATAATCACTGTCGAAATCAAGCGAAAAAACATGAGAATTAAATCAATAGAATCGAAGGAAAAAAATCTCTACGATTGTTTCTATTTATCTATTTTGAAAAACAAGAGTCTTTATTACGAAATAAATCGAAATCGATTCTTATTCTTTGTTAATTAGTTATCATATTTTTATCATAAAATATCATATTGCTTATTAGATTACTTTTTTATTTTATCGTATACCTAATGGATTATCTATCAACTAAACAAACTATTTATATCTCAACCAGAAAACAGTTAAAAGATATTCTATGCTCTTATCAGTATGTTTCCTCCGAAAATGATTATTCTCTCAAGTCTGCTTTTGGTCTATTCTCTATTATGAAAGTTTCCGTAGTGATGAGTGACTACTTTTTCAAACAGTCAAATTTTGGCTGCGCGATATTTCGAGAGCAGAAATTTGTTGAATTCTTTAATTGAAGGTACTAATCATTTGTGAAAATTGCCGACTACTCCATAATGTCTTTTATAAAAGAGGTTAAATACATAAATAAGAGTTATTTGATAGATTTGGTGAATATAAAGTTAGATGTAAATGAAACTAAAAATAAATCGAATAGATAAAAAATATTGAGATAAATAATCCTCTTTCATGTCGCGTATTTATTCTCACTACGTTGGATAATGCTTTAAAATTTTAGTTTGAAGTATAAACAGTTGCAGAGAATGTATTCTATTCAAGTTCGAATTATTTATTCGAAAGAATTGAAATTAATTCTAGAAGAAAACAATTTTCGAATAGATTTTATTAATAAATATTTATCTTATAATTGAAACTGATTTGAACTGTGTGGATAGTAGAGACAATTCAGACTCATAAACATAACCAGACTCTATCGAAACCGACTCGATTCTGTTAGTTTTAATCAAACTTGAAAAAATCTTCATCCATTTTTATAGAATATTCTCAAATAAAGATTGTATAAGCACAAGCATTTTTCATTAGATAGGAATTATCAACTAGAAAAATGTCGAGAGAAATTGAAGAGAAAATTCTTTATAATATTGATCAACATAAAAATGTTGATTATGGAAAGTGAGATATTGGTATAGTCTTAGGAGTATTTTCTTCATTCGATGAAGAGTTTTATTGATCATGATCAACATCTTACCGTCAGTATAGTACTCAGGATTTAATTTAAAAAATCTTTTTCTATTCATGTCTACGGTAATGAAACAGATTGGAACTTTCGAATAGTTGATGACTATAGAATATCAACTGTTTTATTGGTGCTCTCTTCATTTCATCATTTATTGTTGAAATATTTCGAGGTCGATTCTCTTTTTA